ATTATTAAAGATTATATGCCAGTACAAATAAGTACAGTGTTCTATGTGACAGAGTAGGCGTTAAGCGTGAAACTTACAGCTTACTATGTACTTAGCATAATTAATTGGCTCTCTCTTATTCTCTCCTATTTGAAATCTATGGTGAGGCTATTTCAATTAACTTATAATCTTGGTTATTAATATTATTGTTATCATCATTTTACGCTTTTATACATTTTCGACTCAACTGTCACTGATAGTGCGCCAAAAGCAACAGCTATTATCAATATTGGTTGCTTATACTCTGTAAAGATTTTAATGTCACCCTCACACTGACGACTCACTCGTCGCTTCCCTTTTGGATTCCACTCGAGCACTGGACTGCATTGTGCGCGTTGTCATTCGACGGTTTCGCCAATGTTTGCCCGATCAATCCATCTCCATTTTCTCCTACATATTTGTTAGGCGGTAAGCTCTTGGTTGGTTGGTTGGCTTGTTGCCACATTTCCTTGTTGCTAATTCTTTCTGGCTAGTTGGCCATTTAGTCTTCACTATGGAGCCAGGGAAGGAGGCAGCTGTTGATGAAAGTCTGCTGCAACTGGCTGTTAGAAATCCTCTTCGTTACACGCAGTGCAATTTTCTGACCCGTATAGAAGGACCGACTTGACATTACTGTTGAAAATCTGGATCTTGTTCTTTATTCTGAAGATTTCCAAGCTGGTTTTAGGTTGATGAAGGTGTATTTGCTTGCCTTTCCGATTCTGCCTAGTGTTAAAATTTTCATCCATTTCACCAGTAGCTGAAACGATGCTGGCTGCCTAGATAATTGAAGGAGGTGTAACAACAGAAGACAAGGGCCAGGCAACAGATCATTTATTAAGGAAAACCAACACATATTTATAGATTTTAATGTACATTATTGTAGATGATTATTAGTAGAAAATACAGTCTTTTGATTGGTTGTTTCTCACAGAAAGTTAACCTTGAATCCCTTTGTGGCTGTGTCAGATCATCTATATGTGCTAACTGTATCCGCCTACGCAAAGCCTTTGTTCTCATCATTTTCTCACCACCAATATTGGGGACAGAAACATTGACGTCAGTTACTGTCTACCAACTTTGGCTAACAGCCAGCTCTCACCACGGAGGTAACCTCTGTTAAACCTCTCCCATTGGTAGTGATTGGTGCTGATTTTGGAGGAAAGCAAATTGCTACTATTATTAAAGCTTTAGGCTGATTTTCATAGAATTATTCGCTGTATAATTCTAGAAGGAACAGATGTGTAGTCACCAATAGGCAAGACGATATCTCTCTCTCTCCTTCAGGCGGCACCATATTACACATGACTGTTATTGATCAAAGATGGAAAAACGATAAATAGATATGAACTTCACGGTACTAATTAAATGTTATAGGAGTACAAAGTGAGCCACTTCAAGGTTGAACCTATTGAGATAGTCAATAAAAATGAACATAAATCTTAAACGGCTAAGGGTGAAGTGACTAGAATATAAATGTTGAACACATCTCAAGTCTTAATCCTTGTCGATAGGTAATGCTTGCAGGAGTAATCAGTTAAAAAAATGGAGTTGGTCAAAAATGTAAACCACTCACAATTGCCATCAATACAGCACTATCTTTGGAAGCTAAAAAACATTACTGATGTTCAAATGGCAACACAACAGATCAATTTTCTATGAAGATAATCAATGCGAATTATTATTCTTAAACCCAGACTCAATACATTATGGGCGCCAAGGGATGCACCACACTAATTGTTGTCTCAAAATTTTGTACGAGGACTGTGATACTATCTGGATGCCTAGATAAAAGCAGATAGTTGTCTAAAGCGGCCACTGTTCCTCTGAACCTTGGAAGTGAAACCTGGTGCCCAAGGAAGTTAGATCAGCATTTCCATGGTTTCTGGTGACCAATACAGCTTCCTACGCCATCAAATTTTTTCGGATTCTCGAGCCCATGTACACCACATAGATTTGCGATCAGGAGTTTCCGGCTGTCCTAGGGGGACCAGTACACCCATGGTTCCGGTTATAAGCGCCAGACGTTCGGATTCGGTCTTTCGCTTTTGTGATGGACATCCCCAGAGCTCGTGACACTTTAAACATTCGGAAATGCTTCGATCATAACACAAACAGCCATATATATAGCTTACTCTAGTCTGGTTTCTCGTATGGTTTTTTTTCCTAGTGGACATACTGAAAAAAACTACCATAGGAGATCGTCAAGAAGGCTACATGTGATTATGAAAGTGTTATATACACCTAGTTTTGCCTAAAACCTTAAAATAACTATTTTAAGGAGTTATCGCGCACTGGCATAATTCCTTTGTTTTACCCTCCGTTTGGATTGCCTGCTTCCTATTGGCTGTTAATACTTTTAATGCGTCCCTGAATTACCGCATTCTATAGGTGATTCTGTCTAGATTTTCAATGCTGTTTGAGAAAGTAAAAGCTCTCCTGTCAAGGTCCAATCTTTTCCTTTGTATTTGCATGCCGACGGTGTTACTGTTGTTGACGTGCGGTTAGGGATAGATCAGCCAGCACATTGTCTAGTAGACCGTAGTTCCTGTCATAACAGGAAGTATGTGTACTGCGCACTTATTAGCTCCTAGATGCTCACACTGATGAAATCGATTGCATCCTAAAGTCCCTGAACCAATCAAGTGAAACAGAGAGTATTAAATGTCAGGTGATCGAAGAACCCAGAGAACAATTATTTGAGGCTGTTCAAACATTGGTTTGTTTAAAGATATGCTAGTAAGAAGATCTTACACCTCTGGTTACAGGATGCCACAAAGCAATTAGAAGTATAGAATTATTAGGTTTTATCTTTTCTAACACCCCGCTCCTCTTCAGAGTGGAGGCTCAGCATAACTGGGTCGCCGATTTTACTGCAACGGGAAGAAGATAAAAGACTTCGTAACCGACTTCTCTATTAAGGAAAAACACACCACATTTATACAATTCCAGATACATTTCAGGTTGACAAGGTCAGCGGACAATAAACTGCTCTGATTGGTTGCTGATTTTATGAAGGTTAACTCTTGGGACTATTTCCTGCCCACAACATACGCTAGATCCACGCTTCAACTTCTGTAGCCTCTTACTTCGAATGTTGTTTTTAATTTTGTCTACTTTTTATCCATCTGCGTCTGTAAACACTACTGATAATTCTTGTCAGTAGCACACGTCGTGCTACTAAAACCCTATATGCCACCGGTACGACTTCGCCTTCAAACATCCATGGTACTGTTCACAACCTTAAGGTTGAACACTTTCCTCCAAGTGACATGGTATACGACCTGTAGGAACACTCATCCCAGTTGGTGTGAGTGTGTGTATAGCAGCACTATGTACTTCAACTGGACAGAAACTAGGAAAAGAAACCATGGAGAAGTTACTCAACAACGAAGATCAACTCGCGCAATACTTAAAATTACAACACACAAGTTGTATGGAATGCATAAACCGAACCTATGCCTAACAACGTACTTCCGATTCAACGGCCAAATATATGAACAAGTTAAGGGAACACCCATGGGATCACCAATATCAGGTTTGAGTGCAGAAGCAGTGATGCAAAGGCTTGAAAACATAATTCTACCAAAGATCAAATCCAAGATTTGGATACGTTACGTAGACGGCACATTTGTAATTACCAAAAGAAACGAGTTAGATAAAACTCACAACTTAATAAACAACTTCTTCAACGACATCAAATTCACAAGAAGAGAGGATTCCGGGTGCGAAATCCCATTTTTGGACGTATTAGTCAAGCGAACAACCACAGGGGAATTAGAAACTCAAGCTCTATAGAAAATCAACTCACACAGACCAAATACTGTATTACAACAGCAACAATCCAATAACACACAAAAGGGGTTGTATACAAACACTATTCAAGAAAGCCACAACTCCCTTAAAAAAAATCGAAGTAAAATATCTCATGGACGTTTTCCATGAGAATGGATATCCACGAAACCTCATCAAAAGAAATCTACCCTTCCAGGCCAACCAACGAAATCAGAAGCCACCAATGAAAAGACAAAGAAAATCGTCTTACTATACACATTCAGAAGTCACTGCAAGACTCTTCAAACCTTAAGGAAATGATGTCGTACACAAACACCAACAAAGTCACTTCATTCAGCTCTGTGTTAACCAAAAGACTCAACAGTGAAAGAAGATAAAACCAACATTATCTACAAAATAAATTGCAACGACTGCGTAAAACACTACATTGGCCAAAGTGGACGTCCTCTTTGTCTTCGTATCCATGATCATAAGCTAGCCGTCAAAAGACATGACATCCACTCCCTCATATCACTACATACAGACAACCGCGGACATCAATTCGACTGGGAAAACTAGCGTTCAAATATTGGACAGAGGAAACAACAAGAATGATAGAGAATTTTTAGAAGCTTGTCTGGTATTCCAGTGAATCATCAATCAATAGACACATCGAGATAGACAAAATTTATTAACCGATAAGAAGGAAATCTCATACACAAAGGGTCAAAGTTCAAGTCAAAGAAACAATGAGTTCCAATACAAGTAACCTAGAAGGTGTGAAAACACACAAAAAACAACCAATCACGACGTTGAAAGAGGCACCCATCAGGAGAGATGAGTTCAATCAAATTGAAGTATGCATCCGCTGAAGTAAGGCACAGACACCATTCACCTCAGAGAACATAACCACATCATATACAACATATATACAAGGTGCGTTGGTGGTACAGTGTTAGAATGCTCGCCGATCACGCCTCATATGGACCGGGTTCCACCCTCAGCCGCCAACGCACTCCTTTACCTCGCTAAGCTAGTAAGTAATAAGACTGGTAAAGAGGGAAGGTTGGGGGGCATGAGGCTGGCTAGCACCCCCTTCCCGTAAAAATAAATATCACCACTGCTACCGAAACTTCAAGCCTCTAGCTTGAAGGCAACCTATGTTCCACTGGGAACGTGAAGGAATAAAAAAACAACAGTGTATTAATAATGCATCGGAATTCTCTCTCTCTTTTCAAATTATTGAATGCACGAAAATGAAGAAATAAATAAATAATAATAATAATAGTTATAACAACAATAATCACAGTATAATAAATAGAAGAATGTCTCACTCACTGAAATGATTACACCATAGTGTGACAAGAATAAGAAACAATAATAATAATAACAGTAGTGTTGTAATGGTTATTCCTCTTTATATAACAGCGATATTATTATTATAATATATAGCAGCTCTATTGTGGTTTTATTTTTCTGCACTTCATCTCGTTACAAATAAAAAGCGAAAAATGACGCGTTTTTGTGGAAAATACAACAACAACAACAACACCGACAACAGCAGCCACACACACAAACACACACACGCACACAGCTATACAGACAAATAACAATCAATCAAGCAATCAATCAATCAGTGAAGCATTTAGCTTACTGATAAATATAATGAGTAGTATACACATGAATTGTTAAAAAAACAAGAAGATAAAAGCAAATGATGTGCCTGGTGGTTGTTCACTAGGGTGTAGACAACCAAACACACTCGTACACACACACACACACACAGACACGTGATCTGCAGCTCAATCATTCTCTGCCGACAGTAAAGGACTCAAAACGCATTGGAGCACAGTATGATCCACACAGAACCGATCAAAGGAATGAATGAGTATGGGGTGGGTGGGGGGGCGAATAGCAAATAGCACAGATACAGACAGACATACACAAGCACATACACACACAAACCAAATGAGAAGTAGAACAATGAACAGACACTCACACATACGCACACGAAGAGGTAGACAAATCATTGAAGAAAACTATAACATCCACAGAGAGGAGATGTTTGTATGTTTGTAAGTAAAGGTTAAGAAGCAGGAGGAGAAGACACAACAATAATAATAATAACAAAAACAACACAAATGCTTGTGTGTACTTCTAAAATATCGATTTTATGTTTGTTTGTATATAACTATGACAATATATAATACGATGATTGTGTATACGCGCATGGCTGATGATGAATATAGTTCAGGGCGTGTGTGAGTGTGTGGGTGGGTATGGACATGAGTCAATAATCAGTGGAGAAGGGGGTGTAGGTGTATTCGCGAGTGTGTGTTCTACAAAGAAATGCCAGTATTAGTATTAGTTATTAGTAGGATTGATAGAGTGGTAGTAGTAGCTTTGTATTTTGAATAATTATAACGATGCACTTCACAACTGTCGCACTCACTATAGAGAAAGAATAGAATCAATCATACAACACATCAAGATTAAGAAGCGCCAACGACGACGGCGGTGATGATGATGATGACGATGATGATGTTGATGATGATGATGGTGGTCGTCGTCGTGGTGAGATATAATCTCACAAATTAATAACTGAAGACTATTCACTCATTGCTATTTCTGTGTCTCTCTATGTTGTTCCAGTGGTTCCAGTTGATTCTGCCGATGTGACGACAACAGTAGTTCGAGAATTCCCTGTTGACTGGGCAGGAGGAGGAGGAAGCAAGTCATTCACTGCATTCATCAACTGGTCAGACAATAGGCCACGTTTGTATAAACCATCTGTGAGTAGACGATAGAATGTTAGTTGATCAGTTGGTGGTAATATGAAGATTTTAGGCAGTAAAGATGTGGGACTATGAATGCTGAAAAGAAAAATAATAATAATGATGATGATTAGAATTTATTTGAATATTTTTTTTAAAGAATGGATACTGAACAAAGAATACTCTTTTCGATAACCTGCTATTCATCAGGTTCTACATTATAACGAATGAATGAATTAGTGTTATGAACAACATTAATGCTGTTTAAATAACATCGAATAAATAATAATAGTATCAATGGATTACAGTTCAATAGCATCAACATAACACTACACATTGAATATCAGGAAAATTAGGGAAGATAATAATACAAATTCATGAATTTATAGTCTCTACTAAAGGCCATTCAGGGCAGTAGAAGTGACTAGCTGAACTTGCTTCTTTTGCACACAAAGCACTGGTTGTTTCAATCGAATCGAGATAGCCTCTGCTGTTTGGAACATGCGGTACTTCGATGTTTTTGGCATTTTATTTGATACCCGGTAGATGATGGTGGAGAAGGACTCTTCAATGCTGGCTGGCTTTGTGGCTAGCAGGTTTAGATCAGATGGTCTAATATCGAATTGTTAATGGTTTTAACTACACCTTTACTTAGCCATACTGGGAGACGTTCTCGAGCTAGCACGAAAAATCAAGTTCCTAGAGCAACGGCCAATATAACTCGCTCCACCACAAGCGATACAATCAGAGTTGGCTAGCTAGTCTAGGTACTTCATGTTTCAGTCGAGGTAGCACCATCAGTCGTGTAGAGAATACGACGTGTAGTTTGCCAGCATTAAAAGTTCTTTGAACTGATTTTCTTAATTTCTTCGTAATTATCTCACTTGGTATATCGCCCTTGAATTGTAGTCGTATATAAAGTGGCTTCTTGTTTACAGATAGTGAGTAGTCCTTTTCCGTTTTCTTTGTCATGTGTTTCTTGATAAATTTTTCGGGATAGCTATTTTCGATCAAAGTATCATATATATATATATATATATATATATATATATATATATATGAAATATCATTTTTTTTCTTTTTGTGTAACTATAAAATTCTATTGTGATGAGAGTAATCAATCATTGTGAATAACAGAAATTTGAAAGAACATCGTTTCACATACACGCAGTTGGCATCACCAATGAGAATGTCGGAATGAGAGTCAGAAAGAAAAGATACAGACCTTCATCAGTTTTGTAAATCTTACGAACGCCGCCTCAGCATCACAAAGAACAAGATTCGGATTTTCAACACAAATGTGAAGTTAGTTAGAAACTTGGCGTTTACATGCTGAGAAACAGCAGTTCCAACAGACCATTGCAGACTTATATCAACAGCTGCCTCCTTCTCTGACTCCATACTGAAGATCAAATGGCCTGTTGGCTGGCCAGAAAGAATTAGCAACAAGAAACTCTGATTGGGAACAAACCAACCAAGAGCTGACCGCTTAACAAATACGTATGAGAAAATGGAGATAGATGGATCGGGTAAGGCGCAATGCAAGCCATCACTCGACTAGAATCCGAATGGGAAGTGAAGAGTGTGTCGTCGGAGTGAGGGTGACATGAAGGAGATCGTGTGGTCAAGAGGAGATGAGAGATTATGGATAATCGTGAATCCAGATGAAGAGGATGGCAGAAAATAGAAGAAAGTGGAGATGTGTTGTTGAAGCCCTACGTTCCACTCGGAGTCCTAGGGAACAATAATGATAAAAACCTAACGCATACATAGCATGATGGAATATACTACTGATTCGTTGGTATGAGTAGTTACACCCTACTTGTCCTAAGTAGTGTACGGCTTGCCTACGAGATTCAACATCTAAACACTAGACTACCGTTTCTCTTGCTTGGAGCCAAGTTCATTAACAGCATATGCAATTTCACTTAGCATAGACAGGCGAATCACTTCAAACCATCCGAGACTAATTCGGAGCGATGTACATCACTGATCAGCTTGACAACAAACGAATGAAACAGACGTTCGGTGTGTTTAGATGAATAGTATATAGTTTTATACAATGATGATAAAGTGTTAAAATCTTTGGAAAATATTTCCACCACACAATTTGATTGTTGCTCACACTGATCGATCGATTCCCTCGTTTGGTGTTAAGCTCGCCAAAATCCCAGTGGCTTAATGGCTTACGAGCTCGCTTTGTAACCGGATGGTCCTGTGTTAGAATTCCACAGTTGAAGAGTCCCAAACTAGGCTGAAGAAACAGCTCCCCAGTACGCTCTACCTAGTTTTTCAATGACTGACTTTCTAAGTGATGTCAACTCATGATGAAATCCTGTAAACTAAAAGAGTTGATCCAGTTAAAACCACTCTAATTTTATAAATTATTTAAAATAATCCCAGCGCGCGTGTTTAAAAGAAACAAAAACAAAACAAGATCTGCTTTCTGAACATTTCACTGTGTAAACCACAGCTTCTTCCTCAGCAAAATTATCTGGGTTTTTATTAACCATCAAAATATCTATTCAGAAAAATTACATAGATTGAATTTCAGTTTCTTTGAAAGTTACTTGTCGGTAGATATTCGTACCAATAGAAATATGTGTAAACAATCATCACACATATATTTGTAATGACTAACTAATTTTATAACGGAGAAAACCGATGCCCCCGCAGCTCGATCCTTGAACATTTAATCGACTCTGGACACCAAGTCAAACCACAAATAAACTTCAAAGTTATCTACAGAATACCAGGCAATTTTGCTAAAAGTGTACGGATCAAACTTATCCACATCGCCGAAGCAATCTCCATTCATCTGCTAAATCCTGAACTCTGCATACAAAAGAAATTCGTTCATTCACTAAATCTACAATGGACGTAATCTTTCTTAATTTCAGTCTTACTAATTGTATTATTTTGTCTTTTGCATTTTATTTTTTCACATCTTCACTTATATTATTCTCTACCCCACCCTTTTGTAATCTCTATCCTCATTAACAATGTTGCTAACTCGACCCAAGTCCAATTTCTAGTCAACTATGTTACGTCATCCGATTAACTTACTCAATTTTCAACTGTATTATTCTCTAACCCCACCCTTATTTAACTTTAACCACCACTCATTAAAACTGTTGCCGACCTGACCTACTCTGAATTCTACTCAATTGTATTACGTCATCCAGTTCATTTAATCAATTTTATTTTATTTTCTATCTAATTAACATTTGTTTCCAAGCAAAATAATACTTATATTACGTAATTATCTAAACTTTATAAATTCAATGTACACACAAACAAACAAAATTGTATATAAATGCGACTATACAGCTCAGTGAATGAATTCGCCGAAAATAGTCGCTTAGCTAAACGCCTTCTTTTCTTTTATATGACTTTTATATGAATTTCAAATTGTCATATTTGTCTGTTTGAGTGTGTGGGCATGTTGTTTCTTGTATGAGAAACATGTCAAAACATGTGATAATATTTTACAGTGGTCATAATATAAGATTGAATTTTTTGTTCCTCTCATCTGTTTTGCTTCATTAAAGTCTGTCATATAGTTGCTGATAAGTCTATACCTTCTCTCCTATTCATTACATTCGATGAAGTTAAAATATGCAAGGCTTCAGAAGTCAACCTTTCTTTATATGGCGAATGAAAGTCTCTTCCTAGAGTTGCAACATTGTCGAAATCAATCTTATGTCCGCTGTCTACAGCATCCATTGCTGCAGTCGATCTTTTTTCAAGACTCGTTCATTCTACTTCATTTCTAAATGGATGTTTCCCTGCACAGCCTGCATTCATTCATTTTGACCTTCCTTCACCATTCTACTGCTCTCCCCTATATGGTAAACCTCACATTTTGAGCACTTTATCCTATACACACAGTTGTTTTGTGACATTTTGAGAATCATACCTTTGACACTCACCAAAGCTATCTCTAGAGAATTAGAGGGCTTGAAATAGACTTTAATATTATATGAAGCAAATAGTCCTTGAAGTTGTTCAGCTTTGTCCTTTCGATATGCAATGGTTATCGTCGATAGCGAAGATTTTTCAATTTTTCTGTTTTCACTTATGCTCCTTTTTATTGATAATATAATTTAGCAGCTTTCCCGGATAACCATTTCCAATCGAAATATGTTTTATATTGGAGATCTTATTCTCCATATCATCATTATTATCTGTTGTAATGTTTCTAGCTCCGTTTACGGGATTTAAAGCTACTAAAAATTTCATTTTTACAGGATGATTCAACTGGAAATTCAAATATGTTGTTTGAATGTGTCGGTTCCCCGTATATCGTGAGCTGTATTCTTTGATGGCTAATAAAATCGAAGTAATTTTTGCTGCTTAAGAAGCTGTGGATTACACAGCGAAATGTTCAGTAAAAAAACAGATCTTGTTTTGAGTTTTTTTAACTCTTAAACACGCTCTGAGATTGGTTGGAGGATTTCATCATGAGCTGACATCAGTTAGAGAGCAAACCATTGGAAAACCACCTGGGAGTACTGGACAGCGGTTTCGTCATCCTAGTTTGGGACTCTTCAGAAGTGCGCACCCACACCACGGGGGTTCGAACACAGGACCTTCTGGTAACATGGCGGGCTCGTAGACTATTCATGAGCCACTGTGACCCGATCCATTAGCGAATGAACTCCAACTTCTGCCAATTCATAACATAGCGCAACCACTTCATAATGTCTTTTTCGATGAGTTACTGCCTCACCTTCAACCTGCTGTACGCTACTGGTCACGGCTTTCCACTAGAACCCCAGGTAACTGTCTAAACAAGGCCAAGTGGCTTAATGGTCTGGAGTCGAACACTGGTGGTGGGTGCATACTGATGAGGAATCCCAAACCAGACTGAGGAGACAGCTGTCCAGTAGTCTCCCTAGTGGTTTTCCAATGGTCGGCTCTCTAACTGATGTCAGCTCATGATGAAATCCTCTTCCAACCAATCAAACAAAATCCTTACAAAAAAAAACAAATATTTGAAAACTCTCTAGGATTATTTTCAATAGTTAATAATGATTTAATCTGACTTGGCGGTCAGATTATTCCAGGAAAATCCTAACATCTACAGTCTGGAAACA